CTCAGAAGCCAAAGCTAAACAAACTCTGATTATGTACACCAGAAACATTTTTCCAACAGGTAATAGTCACCGGAATAATCTGCCAAGGGCTGCAGTAGGATTTCCCAGAAGATGCAACCTCTTATTGTTTCTAAAGAGAAACTCTACTTCAAACACAAATTAAGTAAGGGAAGTCTTACAGCCTCTGTTACCCCAGAGGTCATGCAAGATGGTCATAATACTCTCTTCTGGCCTTGTAACCTATAAATAGATTAGAGTCCCAGTGGAAAAAAAGAATTATTCTTATCTTGGGCTTTCCCAAAACACTGTGGAAAAAACAATAGAAATGCAGAAAGATCAGAAATAGTCACTTTGCAACAGTTGTGTCTGGTCTGGTATTTCTACTGATTTTGATTTTTACTGCAGAATGTCTTTTAAGATCTTCTTTCTTCCTGCCAGAGTCAGCCATGCCCAATACACCCATTTCCAGAGCTGCTAACTAGTCAGTGTTTGATAATCATAACAAAGGTTGGGGTTGAAGTCGGTGGGAGTTTTGCCATTCTCATCTAATGGGTGGATCAAACCAGAGTATCTTTGCAATTTAAGGACACACCTCAAATCCTCCATCCGATGCAAAATGAAACTCAGAGGAATTATGCCACACACACACACAGCTGCTGAGTCTGGCTGAAAGAACAGACGTTTCTCATATACCGTGTCAAATATTGTTATATTTAGGCAGCATTTGAAAAGAATTCTACCTACATGAAGTGGGTCACTAAATAGCCACTATACAAATGCCATACCAGCCACACACACAAATGTATTCTGTGCAACTGTGCTGCTTTTATTGTTCTTTGCAAAGAGAGAGTGCTTCACATAGCATGTGTCCTCCTGCAATGTTTTTTGGTTAGAATAAAATAACAAATCCTGTCTTTTAGTTTCTGGGAGTGTTCTGCACGCATGAAGCAAGTGACACAGGAGCACCAATTTGTCTAATGGTTGACTTCAAAAATACAGTGAAACAGCATTTAGATTATCAGTCCCCTCCTTTACTTACTTACTGAAATAATTTTGATGATAATTTAAGTACATAAAATAGTTTGAATTGACAAAATAACATAAAACATCTGAATAGTCTGAGCCTTACAATCACAGCAGGACTACTAGATTCACAACAGTGCTTTACCTTGAACTTGCTGTCCAGCTCTGCTGTCAGCATGGCAGAGCAAGGTTTAATGTGCTCTTTCATCAGCAGAAATTTGAAGTCACAGCATTTGCAGTCCAGTGGGAAAGCAGGAGACCCAGGAGCCTACCTGGTCTTTGGTCTGGAGCAGGGATACGAAGCAGGGTGGTTCCTGTCAGGTGTACCTCTCATGAGCATGTACCAACTTCCAGGGTATGGGGTTTTCTTAAACTGAAGTTGTCTCAGTCACTCCTGAAACTTTTGTGTTTCCATGTTTGGTTTTTTTTTTGTTTGTTTGTTTGTTTTGTTTTGTTTTGTTTTTTTTTTTCATTTGATTAATACTTTAATTCTAAGCCCCAAAGAAAAATTACTCTCAAGCCTGGTGGCCAGGACAACTACCTGGGAGGTATGGCAGACACTTGGCCCTCTGCTATAATAAAAGTATTTGAATAGATCCTTAAAGTACAGATGAATGTTGCCAACAGACATGTCTAGAACATTCTCTCATCTTGAGGACTTGTAGCTCAGTCTTGGGAGAAAAAAAATGATAGTTGAGGTCTTCCCAGATGAAGATGACCTGGAACTACAGGGTCTTGTATTTCACATGAATGCCTAAAGGGCTGAGAATCAGGATGAAATGGGAGCTGCAAGAATAGGAGAAGCAATGTAATTGTTAGATTTGTCAATCTAGCTCAAAAGAAAATACATTAGAGAGGGAGTTCCTCCCAGAGAAAACAATAGTTTCTGATCAAATCCACAAGTAACTTTGAATTGGCCATTCCTGCCTTTTCAGTGTGTATTTTGAAAGAACTGTCCAATTGCAAATGAGAGCCTCCCTAGCTTCTGGAAGAAGGAACTTCTACTGTTGGCAACAGGCTCCTATTGTCTCCCACTACTGTCCTCGTGAATTCAGTGACAATACTCACACTAATTTTAGAAGAAGCACAGTCAGGCTTTTTGGACAAACCATAAAAGTCCTGTTAGAAGAACTGAGCATCAAAGATTTCAGCTAATCAATATGCACCCGGTAATGATTATTAAAGATACACTTCTGAAGACTTCCAAACACACATATATGCATACTTTTCAGAGGAAAAAATCTGCACTTCAGATATGGTCCAGAGTAGATCCGTGTTTCCATAGGCTGAATATAATTTTCCTGAAAACAAAGGCAAAGGAGAAACGGAAAAGGTGTACAGATTCCTGAGGAGTGTTTTCCTGTCAGATATAAAAAAGCCCATGTTTTCAAATGAAAAACATAATCATCATTCAAGACTGCTCCATAAAAAGCCAAGCACTTTCTGAGTAGACTTCTGTTCAAAGGACCATGTATTTGGGCAGCCCTGGCAAAATGAGGTAATGGTCATATATTGTGACACAAATATCCTAGGAATAATCAAACCAGGAAAGGTTCATATATGCACACTCTGTATTAAACTAGTATCATCTGTAGGAATGGCAATTCCTACATCTTCCCCTCTTCTAGAATCCTGCTAGGAAACAGGACTGGACAATGACAGTTTAGGATACTGTCATGTACTACCATGGTACTACACTCCTGTAAACATCTCGCTCCATTGTTCACCCAACAGCTGGCTCTCAGTATGGTTTCAGGTACATGATTTCTGTTGTATGTCAGCTGGGAAAACACGTTTAGATGTGCCAAACGCCTTCCCAGTGAAATGCCTGGCTTGAACTCAGACTGGTTCCCTCACGAAAGTGGTGCTTTTGTAGACATCTGTAGCTTGACTATTCTGGCTTGGATGGATCACAGGCTACTCAGCAACAGAACCAGGGCATTCTAATTACATTTAATTCTGCCCTTAAATCAAAACTATCTTGCACCCTTTTAAGTACAAAGTGAGACGGTAAAAATTAGTTGTGCTTTAAAAACCTGCCCCATGGAACCACAAGATTTTGATGTGTAAAGGTTTTAAAGCTGCTTAAAATATTTAGAAAGAAAAAAACTCAACAGAACAGTTGTTTAAGAAAATGTTTTAATTTTATTACTTTCTGGTAGTCATTTTCTTATGTGTCATTTTCTCATTTTCTCTAAACCAGCTATACAATTTACCCAATAGATTTCTTCTCTGTAGAAAAAGAAATCAAGGAAAAATATTGGGAAAGAAAAGCTTGACAAGGTACCATTATTGTAAATAGGCTGTATTATTATTGCTTAATTAAGATAACAAAACAGGTTGGAGGAACAGAGGCTGGGAGTTTACACTTGCCATTTCCTTTCAGGTTTTATTCTTTCTGCACAAGACATGCCCCCTTGTGGGGAGAGGTTCAGGCCCACAAACCATTGGTCTCCCATGACAGGTTTGGTATTGGGCAGAAGAGACAGTTGTCACAAAAAGCTTTTTGCATCTGGATTTCTCATTTTCCAGTCCCTCCCTAGAAGTGTCATCTTAGTGTACCTCACATTCAGTGGGTTGTGGAGAGGATGAAGAAAAGCAGCAAGCTGTAAGGCCCCCAAAGAGATGATACCAGGGGTTAACACAGTAAGAATAGTGTGGAACTGGTTCCTTTAGCTGTGTCAAATACATTAGTTTTAGCACCCTCCTGGAGCAGAGGAAAACTGCCCTAAAGAGAGCACTGCACTAAAGTTTGCTTGTGACAAGAGGACACAATTCGCTGAATCTAAATGAGCATCCTACAAACCCTAGGCATCATCACTGTAGGGATCTCTGCACTTTACTCCTTATTGGCAGGCTCTTAACCCATGTCTAAGCTATGGTAACACTGAAATAGTTCTGAAAATATTTTCAGGCTCTTATTAAAAGCCCTTTTATCCTTTTTTGTAATGTTGATTTGGCCATTACATCCACAATGCAGTTACCTATATGTTGTCCTTGCCCATACCTTGAATTAATTTTGTTATTTACTAAAAATCGTCTCTTCAAAATGCCAAAAATTTAGGTGATGTGGATCATAAACATCCACTTAACTGTTATCATGACAACAGATCTTCAAGTAGTGTAGCAACTCCACTGGAGTTATGAAAACTGAGGCTATCAAATTGCATTCAGTGTGAACACAGGGTGAGGAATACCAAACAATATCATACCTTGTGATTATTAAGCACAGGGTGATAGTCTTCTTCCTCCATTCAATACTGAAAGCATATTAATTTTCACATATGAGAGATAAGCAAACCAACTGTCTCCCCAAAACAGGTGACAGACTGATGAAACAAACAAATTATCTTTTGTAAAAACTACAAGATAAAAATCGAGCCCATTAAAGCACAGAGACTGGAAGAGTGACAAGGGGCTGCTCCACCCCACTAGAGCAGACAGAGAAAGGGCACCCAAAGTGCAACATAAATTGACAGGAAGGAGGATGGCAAGGAAAGAGAAGGGAGGAAGTCTGTGCTAACAGTGTTTCTATCTGAGCTATTAGCATAAAATATGACAAAATAAACACCATGATTTCTAGATTCACATAAAATACAATAATCTCTCCTGCAGCAAGTTCTTTCTGTATCAAAGTACAGATCCCCAAGATCCTCTCTTAGAAAACTGTTCATCACTTCAGGGAGAAAGGGTTATTCTACACTGGTTTGTTCCTTACACCTCAGTACACATTAAAGTGACTTTTCTTATCACTGCGGATACATCTGTCTGCTTTGTTGCTCTAGACATAAACAAACTGCGATTGGAGTACGCAGTAACCTGTCTTCTGGGTGCTGACCCTCATGGAAGACTACAGGGATATTCTCTCCACTCTCACTTGTGTGCAATCTTCATCTGAATTCTCTTGAAATGAGAAACTACAGAGCACATCAAATAAAATGTGAAAAATGAGAGAGTTGGCTTGAGACAATTGACATGCTTCTGACTTTGTGATTTCTATTTCCTTTCAGTTCCATGTAAGAGGATTCAGCACTTGAAATACCTGAGAACTGTAAAGCATTGCAATGTTCGTGTTTGTTGCAGCTGACTAACAAAATAAAATATTTAAGTCAGTTCTTGGAAGGATTCTGCCCTCTGCTCTCAACCGTTACATAAAAAATTGTACACAAATGACATTAGCTTTGTGTCAGAAATAAATTTGGGTAGAATCTCAAGCCTTCCACTGAATCGTCTCTGCAAAGATGGCCCATCTTTTCAGCAAGAAGCAGCCTAGAGAAAGCAAAAGAAGACATGCTGCATTAATTGAGGACAACATGGTAACTAAAGTATTAAATACAGCAATTATTACTTACCTTTCTTTGGCTAAGAGAACAGACATCCCCACCAGCTTAGCAAACTCATCAGCTGTGAGAGAACCCTTTTCAGATACCTGTCAAAAACCAAATACACAAATAAACAAACTACAGCATTAAAAGAACAACAAAGTTCTCTCAGCTACTGAATCAGGTCTAGCCTTTGGTAGCAAATCCCTTAAGAAGAAAACTAGTTTGTTTGCATTTTTAAAAAGTACAACTAATTATGACTATTTCCCCTTAAAGATATCTATTTTGTGCCTGGGGGAAATTGCCAAGTATAAAAAAGGAACATAGAAAAGAGTTAGATCTCTAAAAAAAAATGTATGGTACCCTTTTCTTTGGATTTTTTTTAAAGATGCCTTGGGATAAAATGAATGGAAAAATCAGAATAGCTCAGACAGCAGTATGCTGTCACTATAAGTATCTACACAGCCCAGCTATACTAAGTGATTCTGCAAACACCAAAGCTTAAATAAGGAAATAGAAGACCTGTTCAGAGCAGGTCATCAATGTAAAAATTGAAGTAATCTCAGGTAGAAGTGAAGAATTTGAGTTTAAAATTTAAAATATAACCACTCCTTATAGGAAAATCCCCAAACCTTAGTACTTGACATGATATTATGGCATACTAGGGGGATAAGTAAAAGCCACCATCACATTCAGTTGATACAAAGGACTGGTTCAGTCCTGGGACTCCATACTTTGGCCCCTTTGTCTCAACCATGCTACTTAATACATGCTAAAATGAAACCTCCTCACACATGTTGGACATATGCATGTTTGAAATGCTAGATAAATATTAGATATGAAGTCTAGACTTATTGCTGCATTGAATTTCCCAGATAAACATGTTTTATTACCCAAAAATTAATTAATTCTTCCATTTCTACATTGCTGTAGATTCATGCAAACTTGTAATTCTGGATGTAGTTGCCATTTCCTGCTTCCCACATAACTGGGTGGGAAGGGGTCTATTGTGCATCATTCTCAGCAGTAGTCATTTTACAGAAACTCAGATTAAATTAGTCCTAACATGAGATTTTAGGAAGCTGGGTGATCAAATCTGAGTAATGGAAGTCAGCTATACAATTGGTGATTAATTATCTTTCCTTCCCAAACCACTACTCTCATCAAGGGTGACTTTGGATTCCTTTGACATCCATGTCATTTCCTGTCTTCACTAGCCATTCAAATCACATCTCTCTCCTGTCTGAAACCTTTCACTTCTTCTCAGAACTTAATGTATAATGTACAGTAACATGAAAGTACAGGGTGCTTTTGGCCACAAGTCTGATCTCATCTTCCTGTTCCCTTATGGGCTAGCATTCCTCATTTGAAGTCTCTCCCTTACATTTTTCTATGGAGTCAAAGTCTCACATTAGGAAAATAACAGAAAAAAGGCACTTTGGTAATAAATTCATCATCTGTTACTTTTCCCAGTTAACCTCCTTTGTTATCAAGAAAGGTTTTTCCTTTCCTTTCAAAGAGATAAGTACTCTTATTGAAGGCAACAAATATTTAGAAACCAATCAGAAAAAAAACTCTAAAACAGAGTAGGTATTTTTCTGCAAATATAAGGAAATAAACTGAAAATATTAACATATATTGAAAGATTTAAGCATTTTAGTTTTGTTAATTTAGAATGGAATCTTTTAGATGGCTATATACATTTCTCTTATCTAAAAATATTTTTGATGAGTGAAAGCTATATGGTAATAAATCATGGAAAATGCACTGAAGAGTCTACCTCATATCAAGTGAGAAGCTGTCTGCAATAGCTCTACTTTTTCTCGACTGCCCAAGACAAAGCCCTCTTTGACTTTCATATTTAACCTGAGATACACTGAATTAGCCTTTTCTCAAGTGTGTGAAAATAAAAAAAATACATTCCACTGAAAAAGACACAGAAAAATGCATCAAATAATGGGATAACAGGACTTTAAAGTGTCCAGAGGCAGCAAGACCACAAAGGTTTATGACACTGAGCAATTTATACAATTTTTTTTCCTGATGAAGCTAGCTTAATTTTATACACAATATTCTCCAAGTGCTCATCACAGCAGCAAACTCAGTGCAAGATGTTACACATACAATGTACTGTTTTATGAAATAAAGCCAAAGCAAACAACTACCTATATCAGCCTTTAAGAGCTGCTTCCACTGCCTTCAAGCACATCATGTTCAGTGTCTGAAATGGGCTTCTGTTAAATTAGGTGCTCAATACCTGCCACGAATTTCATCCTACAGCACAAAAGACCTGAAGGAAGGTTTTAGGTTAATAAAGTTTGAGAAGAGATGGAAAAGTGATTTATTCCTTAAAGAGAAAGCAATGACTAGAGTTATTGCCTGCACTGAACTTTGAAGATGAGAAGTGCTATTTAAGTATTGCTCTAGAAGATATGGAAGTGGAATATTTTGTATTTCAAAACCTCAAAAGGAAATTCTGTACCTCGAGTTTTTGTACCTAATGTATTTAATTTTCCCTAGTATGGTCAGAACACTGAAGGAAATGAAGTACACTTACTGTTTCTAAAGCAGAAGCTACCATTTCCTCTTCATTATGAGACTGGAGTTCAATCACCATCACACCACTGTCAAATATCCGAAGCCTAAAATCAAAAAAGAGAAGCAAAGTAACTAAAAACCCCGTGCACATCACCTATGGTCACATTTCTAATGCACCCACACCTATAACCACATTACAAAAGGGGAAAAAAAAATCCAACCCCCCCCAAACAAAAGCTGTAAAATGAACTTAAGCTTAATAGCATCTTCAAAATCTAAACAGACTGAAAAGACCGGACTATATGTCTGGTCTTGGTTAAACCCTTTTCCCAGTCTGAAAAAATTGTATTGGAAGTGAAAAAAATAATGCCTTCCTAGTGAAGTGAGTCATAGCTAAAAACTAGTACTTTGATGTAAAGTGGATATTGGTGCATACAGCAGCATCCTTTAAGCAAAGAATGTCTTTGTAGTAGATTTTTGTTGCTGTTGTATTTTTTTTTAAAAGGTAAAATATTAAATCATCATGGTCTGACCTCTGAGTGCCATGTTCCATAAATAAATCTGTAAAGCTCTTACCTTATTGGCAATTTCAGTGATTCCAGCATTTTACAAGCATTTACTAAATCTTCTGGTGACAGCAACTATTAAAATAGTAACACATATTTATTCACAGCTTGCATTTCAAGTACACAGTACAACACCAAAACAAACAGTTTTAATAACTACAGCTATAAAATACACCAGGCCACACTTATTGTTAATTTTCTTCCTTTCTTTTGTGCAGTCTATTTTCTTGGCTTCTATGCTGCTTTCTGTTCCTTTATTATGTGTTCTATAATAATCCTTTTGCCTTGTTTACAGAAAGAATTGTTGTATTTTGTAAAAAAAACTCCAAAACATTCACCATTCTTTAGCAGTTTCTGTCCTTTAAGTTTTCTTTTCAGATAAGGATGGATTTTTCCTTTTACACAGTATTATAAAAAGCAGCACACATTATCACAACTAGTAAAGGATACGTAAATATAACATGGAAGAAGGAGAAAGGTAAAAACAGCCTAATTTTAATAAAAGGCTGATCGCTTCTTGCTTTTAGACAGGTAGAATGAGCAACTGTTAGGGAACATTTTTACCCTTTTTCTTTAATCACCTTATCACTAAAGTACATTTTATAAAATATTTAATAAAAGCAGTTTCTCACCTCTAACCCTCGCGCACGATTCACCAGACAGTACACTTCCGTGAGCGACATGATCCCTCCTCGTTCCTGTGTTAAGCATAAGGCTGGTAAGAGCAAAAGCATTAATCCAGTAAACACAGTATCTCTAGTCGTATGTGACTGATTCAACAGGTGAAACACAGGAGCTATGTGATGGGCCTGAATGGAGAAAACTAAAGAGGTAAATCGTGTCTTTCGCTAATCAGTTTAAAATACTAAACAGTAACACTACACCCAAAGACTGTGAATTACTTTGCTTTTAAAGCAAAGAATAAATGTATGAAACAGGAACAAGAAATTGCAATATGTAAATCTATCAATCAATTTACCATTTTTACTTTTCAAACAAACTCAGTTTTCCATTCTGATCACAGTAGGCAGCACACAGTTTTCACAAAAGTACTGTAATATATATGTTTTTCAGAAGGAACAGCCTTTTAAGTTGCAACATGAAATCTAACTTTTTGGTGAGAATCCTGAATTCTGTAATAGCTTCAGATAAATTAAACCAGGAGATATTACTAAGGGCACATAATCTACTTAATAATTCTGTCTTATATTTGCAAAATATGTAAATTTTAAGCAGTTTAAAGACTTATTACTTGTATTTTCAGTCAGTGTCATTTCACTTTATTTTAAAAACGTTATATTCTGCAGCAAGGGATGAATGCAGGGCTGTTCAAATAGAAGAAAGAGCACTTGTACAACTTTTTAAGTCTCACTGATATTTTGTAAATAGAAGAATTCTGCAAATTCTTACTTATATTTAAACATTCAAAAAGAGGATATATATTCCTTCCATAAACATTGAATATGAGGCTGTGCCGCAAGATCTGAGACTTTAAAAAGAGGCACAGCACTACAGCCAAAACATGTTTCCATTGAAATTCAGCAACACAGAGAAAATGCTGGTGCAAAATGAAGTACTTTACCTCTAATGGTGTCTGCAGTATTCCAGCTAGTTGCTTTGCCAGTTGCATGTGGTACTGTGTACCCGATCCATATGTTTCCCTAGTAACTGGATTAGCTATACCCATACTCAGTAGATAGGACTTGAACCTAATAGTCTGAAAGAGCAAACAAATAAATTTACAAGTACATCAGCTAGTGAATGATACTGGTTTTTAAAAGTCTTTGATTTTATTACTATAAGGCAGTTTTAGTGAATAAATCCGTAAGTTTACTACCAAAAAAGTAAATTGCTAACAAAGAGAAGGCAAGACTTTACACAATTTTTTTTTGACCAGCAGAGGTCAAAAAATAGAAAAAAATACACAAAATCAGTAAAATCCTTGCGTTTAAGAAGCATTAAAAGAAAAATTAACACTAAACAAATAAATTCTATAAGGGACCAAAACACAAAGAAACCAACCAGGAAGTGGTTTTTATTAACATTACATGGACTAAATGGATAGCTTTTTGCTTGTCATAGGCACATTTCTGTTAACTTTAAAAATGAAATTCATTTACCTCATCCTCAGTAATGTCACCTTGTTTTTCTTTAATCTTATTAGCTATTGACTTGGATAACTCCACCATTTCCTTAGCCTATCAAGAAAGACACATAGATAAGTCAACTTTCAGCTCAACAGAGAAAAGCATGCTTGAAACTGAGAAAACAAGCATAAGTCTACTTGGACAAGTGACACATGCCATACATACCTTCTCCATTAGTTTGCTAAGATCCTCAAAAGCCTGAAACAAAAAGCAGACAGTGCAGATCAGTGTAATTTATCTTCATGGATACAGGAAGTTGCCATTGTGCACCTATCCAAGCTGTTCATAAGAGCTGCTATCCCTTTAGGTTAGTATGTTACAGTATGATATATCATATATAGTTTGTTGATGCATCTATTTTATGTTAGGTCTTTTAACTAAAATAAACATAAACAACAGAGAATGAAGAAGAGAATCAAACAATTGCACATTTTTCCAGTATGCAAACAGTAGTTCAATATGATTTATGAAGTCCACAATAGGAAGGAACAATGAGATACTGAGAAAAGATTAAACTGTTGAAGTTTATTATGCTCTCGTATAAGCTGGGGGAATGTTTCTTGGTGATGATGGCAAGTTTTCTTCCACCAGGTAACTCTCTCAAGGAGATCTATTGTTTCTGGCAGCAAGCCAGATATAAATATACAGATGTACTCCTCTGGACAAGACAATTTTACTTTAATGAGTAGATGTTACTAAGTCAATAAGAAACAGTAATTTCAAGTGAGCAAGGAAGAGGGTGTATGTTTTCATGTGTATGCTTAACTGAAGGGACAAAACCTCTAAAAATGTGTGGCAACATCTCTTCATTTGAATATCACAGTAAACTGCTATGGTCTCAAATACAACTCCAACAACAGCACACAAAGGGTATTTTAGGCTTAAATAAAACATATTTTAAAAATAGCTGAAAATATACTGAAATTCAAAACTTTTAGTAATGAAAACCAACTAGCTTTAAAAAAATTCATGTTTAAAAAAAAAAAAGACCTAACAACTCCATTAATGCACCTATATTAACAATTGACTCTCTGTTCTCCCATCCTCATCAACACACATTCAGCATCCCCACTTGCTTCTCTCAAACATGACAACATGTCCAGGTGGTCAACCTTTTCAAACAATCTTTTTTGAACAACTGATCTGAGAAAAAAATTCCCGAACCTTTTCAGCTAAACTTTGCCTGACAGCAGCACCAAGCCCTCCAGCCACAAGAAAAGAAGGCTGTTCAGTTAGAGTATGTCAAATGACCAGATGCCTATCTTGCCTACAGCTTCTAGTCACTGCTTCTGTGTTATTCCTGGCTCATTCTGACTAATCCCCCACTAGAAAGACACATTTTAGCAGCATTTTGACTCAATTGTTCCCATCTGCATTTAGGTGCCTGCCTTAGAAGCTTACTGGTCTGAGACTGAACATGCAAACAAGAAAAGGAGATACTTCTAGGAAGGGACAGGGTTTGCTTTTGATCTGAACACCTCCTAATGGTACCAGTGTTTCTCCACTGACTGGAGAAGTTCAGCCTCTTAAGACTTGGTACCTGAGTTAAATGTCCAAAGTTTAATGGGACAAACCTAGGTTCAAGGGCAGAAAAGAAAATATACCACCGTAGAACAATAATTTACCACTATGAGAACAAGAGCTTCTCTTTGGAGTATTTCTTCACTCCCTAATCTGCCAAATTCAGTAATTTACAATACATTTCCCAATCTCTTGTGTAAATCACCGTCCTTCTACTGTACTTGTAAATGGTATCAACAATAAGTTTTCTACCAAGGCTTTTCCCATCTTATTTCTAATCTCTATACCTGCATGAAAACATCATTCATGAAAAGAACCCTTGATTTAGCTAAATAAAGAGCACGGCTGTGTCTAAACTCCTCCTCTGCCTGACTCACAGAGGGCAGGCCTGGAAACAAAGGGGAATGTGCACACACCTAACAGGAACTTCCTCAGATAAACAAAAGGCTAAAGAACTGGATTCTTATCAGCGCTGAACAGCAGATGCAGGAAGCCTTTTCCTGGAAGCCAGGGCACAATTTTTTAAATTAAGTCATTTATAACATTTAAAGCTGGAGGAAGGCAGGATTTTACAAGTCACAGCTTTCCTCTGTTCATACAACACATACAAATGGATTTCTTTTAGTCTCCGACAAAGCTACTAAAGGAAAAAATAAGCAGACAATACCTTTTGAACTATATACACATGCATGTAACCACAATACCTTTTGAACTACACAAAACTTCATTCATTACATTCCTCACAGACAGAAAGCAAAAACGTTTAATGCTACCAGTATCAGAAACAGCACATGGCCTGCAAAGGTAAAATCATTTTCTTAGGTATTAGAGCAGGGAATGGCCTTTTTTCTCATGGCACGTTGAATCCCATAGAGCTTTGCAACAAGAACAAATCTGTTGCATGTAGTTTTTGAGTATTTCTGTATTAATCTCTACCACCAAGCAGAATCAGACTATTTTTGAGGATATTGCTTTCAGGTATATATGAAGAAATTAAATGTCTCTGTTGTCCACCAGTAATGATATCTGGAATTCAACTATTGTGCTGTTTCTAGGGAAAAGGATGGTCTCTATCTAGCCCAGGTGTTTAGCAAAATATACTTGTAATGTCTTGTCAATGCCTGGACTCCAAATCATTTTACTGTAATCATAATCCTAAATCTAACTTCTAAAAAAATTACTATGTATAAGATGAAAACCTAACTTCACCACAGTTATGCTTGGACCAGCATATTCTTAATATGTATTAAATTCTCAACTGAAACCAAAATTAGTGTTAAAAAAAAAACAAGGAAAGAAACCCCCCCTCAGACACGTATAGACTCTTTCTAGACATGTATTTGTGTTCTTTCCCTGAAGAACAGTCACTGAACTCAGATTTCTAATTCTACCAAAATTAATTTTATAAATAGACAGTTTCAAAGAACAGTCTTCTTGAAAGGAACTGTTTAAGTTACATTGACAAGCCAGTTAAACAAAGTAAGTAAATGTAAATAATACATTCAATCAATTCAGATTTCTCAACAAAAAGAAATGAATAGTCTCAGATGCTCCTGCCCTTAAAAGAAAGTGTGAATGAATGTAAATGGTTCAGACAGCTGGCTGACCTTGAACATTCAGAAGTACCTACCTCGGAAATGTTTTTGTCAGTCTCTTTTCTTTTTTCCTCTAATTTCCTTTCAATCCCTACAATTCCTACAGCCCTTATTCTTCCTGCCTAAAAAAAAAAAAAAAGAAGGAATCAAAATAGGAAATCTTAAATTTTCTCATCTGCTTCGCTGTGAAAATTAGAGGACAGGAAATGTTCCCCCAAAGAACAGATATCATTCATACAATATTTCATACATTTCTTGACAGTATTTTTTTAAACCAGAGTGAAATAAAAACACCAATAAGTGTGAAACATGTACAAATTTGCTATACTAGACAGAAAATTACATTATTATATTGAAGTTATTAATATGAAGAAATTTAATAGCCTGATCCAGACAGAGTATTCCCACTCATCTCAATTGTAGCCTCCCGAGTCCATGTGAACACACATTACTAGAGCTGTGGAAATGCCTGAGTATACCTAAATATGATTACCTCAAGAAATCAAGCCTGAAGAAACACAGACATAGAAACACAATGCTGAGTGCAGTCTAATTTACCTTGCTGAGAAGTATCAGCATGGAGGTGATGGTGAAACTTTTACTAGATACCAAATGTGTCTTATAAGGGCTGGTATTAAGTACCAGTGGTGCCAGCCCTCAAATCTCTGACTGCAAGGCTTAGCACTGGTGTTAATGAGCTGCTATGACCTAAGAACAAGAGGTAAGGTATTTTCATTAGATTCTTCATGCAGGGTACAGGTTTCCCCATTAGTCCAAATGCAATTGTGCTTATAGGTACTACATTTGCCAAGGAGTACCAACGGGATTTGACATTGAACAATTTTTAAATCATTTTATTCCATTCATACAGTACTATATGTCCATATATGCAACATATTCATATAGAGGAACAACATCTACATGTTTATCAGAGTTTATAACCTAGAAGTATGCAGACAGATAAAGAGGGTAATCTAACCACTTAACATTTTCCATAACAACTGTCCATTTAGAATATTCATTTAAACCAAAGATACATAGGTTTCAAAGTTGCATATTAGATATTTGATATCCAGTCACAAAAAAAACCCAGAAATTGCAATTAAGACTAAAAATCTTGCAGCTTCATTAGATGTCTCATGTTGAATAAAATTATATGCAAGTAGATATATTGCATTTGCATAACTATGTGTATGCATGTCTGATCAACTACTCTAGTCTAAACAAACTCAAGAGAGGCCACTGTGTTCTATCAGATGAAAACTACAAAGCAGAAACTAATTTATGGCAGCGAAGAAATAGGCAAAGTAAAGCTGAATTCCCATGTGCCCATCATGTTGGTTAGAGAGGCATGCTGGATGCAGTATAGGGGGGCAGCAAGAAATGGAAACAAGAAATTACATACAGATGCTGCTCAGAAGCTCTCACATACCTGTGTATCCTTGTTAACTTGCATGGCTTGACCAGTAGGCATGCTCTCCCATCTCCTTTGTGTCATTTCTTCTGATAATCGCCTATAGAACTGCAAACATTAGAGAGTGACAACAGACATTCCATAAACTGTGCAAGGTACCTCTGGGTATTTTTAGCATCCCGGTGGTAGATAAAATAAACTTCACTATAAGATAAAATGTGGTAACACCTACATACCCATAGTACAACATCCATTATCTGGAAATTCTTAATGTCCAGTCTTCAAAAATACACATATTAGAGTAGGAACAATGTAATCACTAGTTCAACTCATATAAGTATTTCTATTGTAAAATATTTCTTTCAGATATTCAAAATGTTCCAAACCATGCTAAAGTTAAAAATGTCGAGGTTCCCTCAAAGGCATGCTTTTTAAAGGAAGGAAAGTTGAACAATCCAATCACTACTGATCTGTTAATTCAACAATATAAAAACAACCACACAGATCAATTACACTTATATGTTTATTGTTAATACCAGAAGGTGGCATTAGTTAAATACTTAAAACTTAGTGTATCCCACTGACCAATAAATAGAAAGAAAATCTATTCCATTCTTATGGTTGTTCAGGTTCACAGGAAAGTGTTCTGAAGTCATAAAGAAAAGCTGGGGTGTAATTGATATGCTTGGAACCAGTAAGCATAGTAAATTTAATTTTCAGACACAAAACTAACATTAAAATAAATAAGATTATGATTAGGCAAAACATCTATACAATTACAACTATGCATAAATCTACCGTTGTTAATCTGAAAACTGCTCATAAAGAAATGAAAGTGAGTCTGATCACACACATGCATTTATAAGGCATTTTTAATTACTTCGAGTTGAAAATCTGATTTTCTGTAGTGATCAGGTACAGCTTTTTTCATTGTTTGAAGTTAAAGTTCTCAGTCTCTTCGAATGAGGATCTTACACTGTGAAATTTCTTTACAGAGTGTAATTTCTTTGTCTTTTAGGATGAGACTTGTTTTAAAAATATATTAAAATTTTCTTAGAATGCTCAGAGCCTTTGAGGTTTGGTGTTAGGTAAAAAAAGAAGTTTTATAAAGCATAAAATGAAAAATTATGAGGCAACAAAAAGTGTTCAGCAATAAAAATAGAGAGATGACTAAGTTGTCTGATTCCTGTTCAGTAGAGAGGTAGCTACACAGAAACATCTTTTACTCTGTTAAACATTTAACAGATTTCAGAGATGTCATTTTGGAAAATCCTGTGTCCAATTTACTAGATTAAAAAAAAGAAGTATAAGATTATACTAAAACCACTGATGTAAGGATAAAGCCTAATAATGGCTCTTGACATTTTTTGAACTCTATTTGCATCATTTAACCAAAGTATTGAATAAGGAAGACTTATAATGTTTGTCTTCCAAAAGGATGTACTGAAAAAGCTCCACCTCAAAAGTAAACACAGAAAGATCACGGAAAATTATCACTAACACAGCAAGAGGAGAAAAGCATGTCCAAATATCTGATGTGCTTGGCTTGCATGGCATAAAACTTACCTCAATCTGCCCATGTTCTTTGAAAGAAAGCTTGATATAGGAATATTTGCTGCTTTGGAATGGACCAGGCTCTTTGTTTGAAGAAGCAGGGTGAAGATGAACTACTATTTTGGCACTAAGAAAAAGGTAAAGGAAAGAGAAGAAATCTCTGTAATATCTAAAAAAATTATTTCTACAATCAAAGTTAACCATTTCATCAAAACCTCTTTTAACTTTATCTCACATAAAGAGCTAAAGTGCGTGAACAAATGCTTTACATTTGTCCATCAACATTTAAATATTTTGACTAAGCAGATCTTGCATAAAAACTGCTATACCATCTGAAACAGCAATATCTCACAAATTTAAAATGTACCTACCACCAGTTTTTCAGAAATAAGCACAACGAATTTTAAAATTTCAAGTAATAATTTCTGACAGATTTGATTGTTGTCATTCCATTTGTCAGTAGTTATTGCAAGTTAAAAGCCAAAATACACTATCTTTGCCACAGGAAAACAGAAGGTCTCAATTTTATGTTTAACCTATTCCACTGGCATATGTCACTTGTGAACACTGTATGTGAATTTGTCCAAAACCAACATTCAAAGGTAACATGCATGGAAATAACAGTCTAAAATGACACCACCAAAACAAACTTTCAGATAATATTATTTTAGGAACATTAACAGACTCCTATCACAACATGACTGCAAGCCGGCCATTCCCATCTCGTTTTCCTGATACTCTTTGCATTGGTCCATATTTACTTGACTTCTCCAGCATTAGTGAATTATCTGATTTCTTCTGGATATCCTCAGCATACCAAACCGACTGTAGGCTGAAAGCAGATGCCAGCTATGTATATATTTTTCCAGTTAATGTTTTTTCTCTTTTTTCTTGTGAAACTTAGAATCATAGAATCATTTATGTTGGAAAAGACCTCTAAGATCATCAAGTCCAACTGTTAACTGAGCACTGCCAAGTCCACCAATAAACCATGTCCCCAGGCCACATCTGCACATCTGTTAGATACCTCCAGGAATGGTGACTCCACCACTTCCGCAGGTAGCGTGTTCCCGTGCTTGACATCCCTTTGGGTGAAGGAGTTTTTCCTAATATCCAATCTAAACCCTCCCTGACACAACTTGACACAATTTCCCCTTGTCCTGTCACTTGTTACTTGAGAGCAATAAGGTCTCCCCGAGTGTCCTTTCTCTAGGCTAAAGAACCCCAGCTCTCTCAGCCGCTCCTCATAAGACCTGTGCTCCAAACCCTTCACCATCTTTGTTGCCCTTCTCTGCACACACTCCAGCACCTCAATGCCTTTTTGAAGGGGACTCAGAATTGAACAAAGGATTCAAGGCGTGGCCTCACCAGCGCTGAGTACAGGGAGATATTCACTGCCCTGGCCCTGCTGGCCGCACTATTCCTGATACAGGTCAGGATGCCACTGGCTTTCTTGGACACCTGAGCACACTGCTGGCTTATACACTCCTTTATACACATACCTACTGAATTAGTTATTCACTCACTGGAAACGCTTGAGTTCCTTCTAAGCATCACTAGCATTTCCATGCCCAAAATCAATCATACAGTTATGAAAAGTCATATAATATGGAATCTGTCAAAGTTGCTATTCCCAAAGAGTTCTGTGGCACAAAGGACTAATATTAGCTTTCAAATTTAGATCCAGCAAAATCACTGTTGTCATTTATGACTAATCAAATAATAATGGCATGCTAAAACATATACTCGTTCGTGATTACAAGACAGTTATCTAACAAATCACATCAAACAGTGCTTTGTCATGACTCTCTTACACATCTGACCTCAAATGAGGAAAGCAGGTCATTGTGGCTGTCAATCTGAAAATTTAGATTGCAAATGGAACTTACCACGAATTAATATATAATTTTGGGTACCTCACATAATATGCATATGCAAAGTATTTATCCGAAAAGGACTGCGACAACCACCTTACCTTTTTCCTATCCCGGATGATTGTTCTTCAATAAATACGATCTGAGACAGAGGTACAGCAATGCAGCGCTCCTGGAACAAACAACACAAGCATAAGTGAAATTAAAGCTATATCCTGACTACTCTCATTTTCTAAACCCAGGTGTTGTCTTTCCCCACTTCACAGACAGTACGGATCTCTACAGGTGCTGCCTGAGGCACTCGATATGAAATATGATGGTAACAATAGAAACAATCTATTAAAGAGAAATACATGTAGAAAAATAACATAAAACTGAAACTGAGTTCTAGTCAATAAAAAAAAACAACCAACAAATTTAAGTGTCAGTGAGTCAACTTTAAAAACTTAAAGTAGATTAATAAGTGGACTAAGATCTGAAGATTTGTTAAATTTCCAAGTTCAAAATTTAAACACTAAAACTGACCCACTACTGCATCTTATCCCTGTAGGTGCACAATACCCATAGGTTCTTAACATTTTTGCACTGATTTTATTTGGGAGCTAAAACAATATCCAAAATCAGCAGCCTTCTAAATGTTGAATCTCTGAAACACTAGACTACTGTCTGAGTGCAATAGGAATTTTTCCATTTATCCGACATTGAAGGACTGAATCCAGCACTTGACGCATTTCAACACACATTTACTGGACTGTGCTTTAGACAAAACAAAGAAGAGCAAGAAGTAAGACTGTATCCATCTGCTGGAGACTAAGCTAAAATATGCATCTGAGACAGAAATTGCTACGGGAATGATTCAAAGCATCTAAGTAGGTGCCTGGTCTTGTTTTTGTGAACATCCTTTGGGGAACATAATTTTCCACACAACAGCTTGATGAGTGACACAGTCACACAGAATAAAGGAAACACAGGTTGCATTCCCTCTTTGGACCTCTCTTTTCCACCTGCCATGAGGGTGTGCCTAGCACCACTTTACAATGAACACTGTAAGAGGGGCCTCTCAACCCCTACTACCAAAATTGCTCCTCTTTACATGGACTAATTAAATAACCATTACATTGGAGATCAGGTAAGTATACATGAAGGAACTCCAACTAATAAGTAGATCTCTTATCGGCAAAAAACATGGGTTGTACTTCCTGTTCTTAAAAACTCTTTATGCAAAGTTACCCAGATTCTTCTATGACTCCAGTTTCTATAGCCATTATGTAGAACAGCTACTGTTTGTAAAACACCCCCAAAATTCTGGACACCTTAAAGACACGCGATATGATACTTCTGTTAAAAAAACTATTTGAAAACAACAAAAAGTTCAACTATATATAGCATGCACGCTGTCAAAATGATTGATTCATTTAGTTCACATCTAGAAAGTTATGAACTCACTGTAAGTACAAGGGCTTACAATGACTCCTTCCTCATTAGAGAACTAGACAAAGGAATACAAAAATAGAAATGTGTTAAAAATGCTGTGTGTTTATTTGGAAATCTTTTTTCTAATGTTTCACGCTCACAGTATGCATGATTTTATCATTTAAAATGCTGTACAAAACATATCTATGTAACAAATGTTATAGAATTCCTTTTTTTTTTTTGAAATCACTGTATTTTCTATCCTGTTCAACTGCAGATGGTATATAGAAACAGCACCTGTAAAACACAGCTGTCTGTGTTTGTAAGAAGGTTTGCTGTGTTCACCTAAGGATAAGTGCCCCATTTATCATTAAAGTTTGCTGACACAATAGAAGGGGACTCTCTCTACAAGTTTATTCCAGGTAAGCTAGCTAAGGTTTCTAAGTCTGATATTACACCACAGTGGAGCTTAGGCAACAGCTCACCATGAAAATAAAAGGACACTGTGCTCCCCATGTTTCAGCTGCGAGAGCCCAAAAATTAGTCAGCTTTCTGTACCATACTAACAAAGTTAATTACATTTCCATAATCAGAACTGGGTAACTTTTGTCAGTCTCTGGGACATGTTTTTGCCCCTTCTGTTAATCAAGCCTGGAGTTTGTCAGAATCTTTGCTCAGTTAAAGTAGTTAAAATAATTTTTTTTCCTTATTCTCCAGGGTTCTCCTCTGCTGATTTAGGAAATTCAATGATCTTGAAAGAGTACAGGAAATCGTGTGGCCTAGGAGCAGAGGGAGAAGTTGGGAAAAAGAGAGAGATGTCACTCTTTTGTTGGAAAGGATAGAATACGGATATGATCAGTTCTAAGAGTTGCTGAAGTCATCATGTCTAATGTTACTTCAAGCAAGCAAAAAGTCCAAGTGAGAAGATTAGAAGCAGTGCATGTTGCAGTACGTGGTCACCTCTCAAAAAGAGATGCTGATGAAGAAATAAGCGATTAACACACCGTTTAGCACAAACTCATGTAGACTGTGGAAAAAGCACAGTTAATTTATACAGAACAGCTCACAAAACGGACAATCAACTCCTGACTTGTGAACAGTAACCCCACCCTGGGCATTTTGAGACATTTGTACTAAAAATATTTCTGTTATTCCTGCAAACAACCCCTAGAGAAAAAACACATATTGTTTTGCCAAATTTAAGAACATTCTGGTGACACTGCCTTCAGAAGGCTCTTAGTAGCTACCTGCTTTGGAGCAAGGATGTGCATACTTGGTAGGGAACAGCCGCTGGGTGTGAAAGGTGCTTGTGCTACCCCTGCACAAAACCAGCCCAGTAGAATATAATTCGCCTTTGAAAAGATGTCACCTGAATGTGCTGTCTAAACTTTGGCTTCCAGGGTTAAATTTCTAAATTACTGTGTCCAAAACAAGCATAACCCAACTCGGTCTGACGACTTCAACTTCTCCTTCAATTGCACCTGTAGTGTGGTGCATGTTTCACAGCCTATGTTTAGAGCTTTGTATGTGTTTGTAGTTTTTCCTCACTCACTTCCAGCCTGCAATCTCAGGCTCTGGGTTGATGATACAAAGCATTCAGCAGCAATGTTACCACACTGTAGTTCTGATAATGCTACTTAACCTCGGACTAACTGTCCACAGCAGTACAGACAAATGTTCTGGCTTACTGAAGAGACGGTTCAGCACAGGAACCGGCAGCTGGGAGGGCCAGACCTGTGCAAAATAATACTGCCACCAAACACATCCTATTATCAAATCACAGTCGTGGACTATATGGTGGGAGCAGAAGACAGGGAAACTTGAACTTGAAACCAATGAGGAAGAAAAGGTCTTCCTAGACAAGGAGCATGGGAGAGAACTTCATGTTATGATTTGCCTGACACATTGAACTTCAGTCCCAAAACCAATGTTTTTTACTGCATGATACCAGGCTCTTTGCTCCTTTATTTTTGTGCCAAAGAAAAGGAAAGTTTACAGGATTCATTCACATCCCTTCTCATGTCTGTGTGGTTATTTTATTAAAGCAGAACTGGGTCAAAGAACTTTCCTCTACATAATTTTCTTTCCACTGTGAGCCAAAAAATTGACTATACTTGTAAAAGAAAACATGCACAAAGGAAGGAAAAATCTCCTCTTTGTGTGCAGTCTTTTCATTGCAAGCTACTTGTAGTTTATGACGGAATTTACAGCTGAATGACATACAGGAGACAAAAGTGGGACTTACATGATTCTTCTGATCCCTCCAGATCAGTCTGTGCGTGCTAAGCAGTAAAACTCCACTATCAAATTTCACCTAAACCAGAAAAATAAAACAGATCAACAACAAATTTAACCGGTAAGTTGCATAAATACTGATCTTGGAAACATTACACCTTACTAGACATAACAATCAGATTCAACAAGCCAATATTTTGAGAACACCTCCCCTTTTTTCAGAAATCAAAATACATGAAGTTTAGGAAACAATGGAGAAAATAAGTATAAAGGGATCAGATAGATATACACAAACTTCCTTTTTAATGGATATAAACTTTGTCCCCTGGAAATCGTAAGGGATCCCCCCTCCATATACTGTGCAAGATATACAAACACTTAAACAACCTACTAAGAAGATGCTACACACAGTCTGAAATCTTCCATTCTATCACATAGGAGTATTGCTTCTATCCATCTTACTGTTGAAAAGCTCTTTATTCATCAGACAGCAAACAGTATGTGGAAAATCTGTGCTAGCAAATTGCTTCCTACTTGTAAAATCTGATGCACACTTTTACAGCTTTCTGTGAGAGTGCACAACTACTGTGGTGTGGAAAATGGAAAGATCTAGAGTCGTTCCAGCAGTAAAACGAAGCAATAAGCAGGCTGGCTCAGACAAGTGAAGGGTCAGTCCCTTGATGACCAGAGCACCAGTGCATTTTACAGCTACCAAGACAACTCCAGTGTGAATTGTACATCAGGCCCCGTACATGACACCAAAGTCACTGTGTAGGGCAACACAGGGAAGGCTCGGCCCTAACAGCTCGAGCAGTGGACAGCGCTTTGTGACAGCAATGCCAGCACACCCTGTGGGGCTCCCAACCCTCCCTCCATGTAGCACACACTGCCCAAGGCCTTTCTCACAGAATCATAGAATCAGTTAGGTTGGAAAAGACCTCTGAGATCATCGAGGTCAACCCATGACCCAAAATCATGTCACCTAGACCATGGCACTGAGTGCCATGTCCAGTCTTTTCTTAAACACCTGCAGGGACAGTGGCTGCACCACCATTCCAACATCTAATCACCCTTTCTGTGAAGAAACTCCTCCTAATGTCCAACCTAAACCTCCCCTGGTGCAGCTGAAGGCTACGTCCTCTCGTCCTCTCACTAGTTACCTGGGAGAAGAGACCGACCCCCACCTGACTACAACCTCCTTTCAGGTAGTTGTAAAGAGCAACAAGGTCTGAGCCTCCTCTTCTCCAAGCTAAACAACCCCAGCTCCCTCAGCTGCTCCTCATCGGACTTGTGCTGCAGACCCTTAATCAGCTCCATTGCCCTTCTCTGGACACGCTCCAGCACCTCAATGTCCTTCCTGAATTGAGGGGCCCAGAACCGGACACAGGACTCGAGGTGTGTCATCACCAGTGCCGAGTACAGCGGGACAATCACTGCCCTAGTCCTGCTGGCCACACTATTGCTGATATAGGCCAGGATGCCACTGGCCTTCTCGGCCACCTGGGCACACTGCTAGCTCATGTTCAGCCTGGAACTCCGCCCTAACAATCTCCTCACAGACATAAACCCCGCCAGACCCTGGTGCAGAATGTCCTCCCACACCCCCGACCGATGCTCCACCAGCAGCCCAGGCCCTCAGACCCCTCATATCGCGCCCTCGCTCGACACCACCCACACTCACGGCCCTGCCGCCCCCTCGCCCGGGGCCCGCGGCCTCCTCCCCCACCCGGCGCTCTGCCGCGCCGCCAGGCACAGCGCGGGCCGCCCCCTCACCTTCTCCTCCCGTCGCTGAGGCGCACGCCGCGCTGCTGGACCACCAGCGTCTCCCTAGCTCCAGCAGCCCCTGGTCCACGAAACCTTCCATGGCCGCCTTCCCTTCGTCGGGCCCCCCGAGCTGCGGCGGCCGTTCCCCGCCCGCAGCCGCCAGGCGCGTCGGCCACCGCGCGCGGCCGACCCGCGCCCCCTGGCGGCGCTCGAGGAGCAGCCGCCATGTTCCCCCGCCGCGTGGCGGAACGGGAAGGCAGCGCACGCTCCTCCCTCCCACTCGCCATGGCCAGTTCAAGTCCCGCGGCCCGGCCAATCAGGACGGCCCTGCCGGGCGGCGGATGATTCAAAACGCTCGCTGCCGGCGGCCATGGCAGCGCGCGCGGTTTCGCAGCTCCCGGCCAGCGCAGCCATGTCCGAGCCCGCGTTTCCGAGGTACGGCCGGGATACGGGGGGGGGAGAGGGGCACCGACGCGGCTGAGCCGCCCCCGCACACCAACGCTGCCCGGATAGCCGGCCGCCGCGGGGCTGAGCGTTACCGTCGTCGTTACGGCCCCGCGCCGCGGCCGCCGGCAGGTTGGCGGGGAGCCGGTGGGAGCGGGGAGCTGGTCGCTCTCCCCGAGAAGCCGGAGGCAAGGGAAGGCGCCCCAGGCGAGGTCGACGGCCGGCAGGTCTTAGCAGCAGCGCTCGCTGTCGTGGTCTTAAGAGCTTCTGGCCGGTGCGAGCGGGCGTACGAGACATCACCCTCCCTTGACAGCGCTGGGGCCGGTGCGGACCGCGCCCCATCGCATCCCACACCTCACCCTATCATCCCATCCCCTGCCCCAGGCAGGGCCCCTGGGGTAGAAGCCTTCCCTCATGACGAAAGAGACGCCCTAACGTAAGAGCGTCCCGTTGAAACCAGCAAATGTGCCGCTGATCTAGATCCGTACTCTTGTGTTTATTTACTTTCTGAACGGTTTGGCTTCTGCAAGTTAAAGCAATAGAGTTGCTCTGAATGGAGCTTTGCTGTTTGTGCGAAGGGCAGTGAGGGCTGAGTTTCCAAAGCAGAAGGTGCTGGGGGGGGCTTTGGGATGCTTGCTGAGCTTGCTGCTATGCAGCATCTCTTGGCAGGTGCATTTCTGCTGTAGTGTCTTCAGAAGCAGGTGGTGTACGCGGTCTTTTTTAAAATTTGTCCAGAGAAGGGCAACGAAGCTGGTGAAGGGTCTGCACCACAAGTCCCATGAGGAGCGGCCGAGGGAGGTGGGGTTGTTTAGCCTGCAGGAGGCTCAGGGGGACCTTATCACTCCTTGCAACTACCTGAGAGGAGGTTGTAGCCAGGTGGGGGTCGGCCTCTTCTCCCAGTCAAACTAGTGACAGGACGAGAGGACATAGTCTCAAACTGTGCCACGGGAGTTCAGACATTAGAAGGAGTTTTTTCACAGAAAGGGTGATTAGACGTTGGAATAGACTGCCCAGGGAAGTGGTGAAGGCACCATCCCTGGAGAGACAGTCACAGCTGTCTTAGGACCTATTCAGGATCACTTTGTGCTATTACTGACACTCCTGTTAGTCCAATATTTGTACTGATGCCCAGCTGACAGTGGAAGATAAGCAAATGATTTCACAGATGGTCACTTTGGTTCATGTCCATGGTGTTATTCATGTGTGCTATACTTGTTACTGCCACAGATGAAAAGTGTGCTTGCTTATAAGAGTGAACCTAACTTCTTCCCATCAAATAATTGTGTTTCTTTTGGGTTAACACAGCAAAACAACTAACTTGTAGAGCTGTGAAATTACACTTCAAGTGACCCTTGAATATAGCTTTTCTCAAGAAATAAATGCGTAAGACATTGCAATGTGAATATTAAACTAAAAAATTTCTTAATCCATAATGTCTCTATTTCATAATGCTTTTCTAATTGCATTTTCTTTTTTTACTAAGAATCAAAGTTTGTCATTACCATTTTAGCTGAAAATGTAATAAGTGTGTCTTTTAAAACCCACTAGAACAAAGGCGACAAAAAGTCGAAGAATATTTATCAAGAAAGAAAACTTTCTCTGGTGTGCCCATTCAAGAAAACCAGACACCGATCAGGTAGTATTTCTGCTATGGCTTAAATTTCTTTATATTCACTAATATACCTTCATTTTCATCTCAGCTGCCTTCTGTAAGATCATCTGATGCACAGATACCATCTGCGAACTGGAATGTTCATTTTCAGTCACATGAAGTAGTGCCACATGTTTCTTATAATGCATCATGTAACTCTGAGATGTTTTTCTTCTGAGCTGTCAATACATTTTCATAGTTGCTAGGAGACAATACTGGTCTTGATGGTTTTGTAACTCACTGGGTAGTCTGATGCCAACTCTGGTGCCTGACTGAAGGTTTTGGAACCTGTCACTATGGTAGAAACTGTGTCTCCCTGTTCAGACTCGCCTCAAATGGCCTGGGCTCTGATGATTGCAGTAGCTTCGACTCCTTGTGCTACTCCTCCTTCCCCCTCAACTGCAGCATTTAGAAACTTAAACTTCTGTAGCAAATGCATCAGGCTAGACAAGTTGGTGCTCATCCTTAAACATGAGAATGACACCTGCAGTCAATTCCAATCTGTTAGCCAGCTCTCTGTGGTGTACGACGGGATATTTTGCAGTCTGGGCCCCAGTCAGTGGTTGCTTAAAATTTATTTTTTTTTTTTTTGCTGGAAGAATACTACAAGCTAAACAGAAATACTTCAGTGTGAGTTCAACCGGCAGACTGCCAACTGGACAAAAAATACATTTCTTTGTTTCATGATTTAAGATTTTTTTTTTTCTTTAAGCAGTAGCAGAACTCTGAGAGCAACTAGCAATAAACTGCAAGACAACTTACAGCTCTCAACATCTCCAAATCCAGAAATGGTAAGTTTTTTAGTGATATTTAAATACTGATGGTACTCTCTTTTCTTGCAGCTACAACATTCCACTCACTTAAATCATATTTATGTTATATGACTTCCAGAGCATGAGAAGTTTTGAGGTGCAGAAGTGCAGGTTGTTAAAACGTTATTCAGTCACTATTTATTATATGCTTTTTGGAAAGCTGTCACATTACAGTGTGTAATGGATCATATTGATATTCAGTTTGTATCTGATGGTGGAGGGAGTTAAAGAGGATACTATTGTTGCTGAAATAATGCTTTCATTTTAACAACTTTCTTAAGAATCTCAGAATTTGTTTTACATATTTCCAGTCTTCAGGGAATTAATTTAAAATCTAATTAAGGTCTTCTGACAGAGTAGAGAAGTCTTCTATTTGTACTCTGTTACTTGGAAGAAAACCAAATCATTAACAAAACTAACTGTTGAGCGTGCTTTTTCAGTTGTGTACTGGCAAATCTAATGTAATCAGAAGTAGGTGCCAATACCTAATCAGAGTTTAATAGAATGTGTTCCCTATATAATTTCATGTCACTTTTCCAAAATTAAGATGCAAACAGTTGTGCTGCTTAGAAATAGCAAAATATATTCTTCTCCAGACTTGTTCTCAGGCAAAGGTGAGGAAAAAATAGACACAAGACCTGGGTTAGTGTTAGGCAGTTTTGAATTTGAGTTCCAAAAGATTTGAGATGTAGAGTTTGGGGAGGAAACCAATAACCTGAAAACTTCAAAACAGAATGTTGCGGGGAAAAACTCCAAAAGTTAGAACAAAGGTGTTTTTTTATAAACTTCCTGAAGGGACATATTTTGTTCTGTATAAATGTCTCATGTTATTTTGAAGTGAAGTTAAGCTACGTAGTTTCTTGAAATAACAACCCTCATACTCAAGTTCTAGTCATAGAAGTCAAATAGGTCAAATCTAACTTCTACGCCTGAATGACAGACCAAGAAATGAGATGCAGTGTAGTTTTTTTTACAGTTTGAGGGCATCTTAAATAAAAGAGTATCAGCTTCTGCAGAGGTCCATGTGTCATTCATGATTTTTTCCTGCCTTTAGATATTTTACTCTTTCAAAACTGCTGCTTGGACAATGCTGAATTAGTTGCTGTAGAGCATCTTCTTTGGAGGAAAATACTAGATCCCACTTCTCATGGAGGGTTGTGCTGAGACCATATGGCTGAGAGTTTCAGGGAGTAGTAAATCCATATGAAACTGACGTAACTATTCCTGACTTACTGCATCCTGTAGCTCAATAGTAAGAAAAATTCTCCCTCTTCTGGTAACTCCTACTACCCTAATTAAAGGCTTTACTCACTACCACCTGCTAGTAGACTATCCACACTGAGTGGGGGAATGGTGCTGCCATTAAGTGATGAGGTAGGTAGAGATACTGCTTTTGACTACATACAGTCTAAAGCAACTTCTCTTAGAAGGTAATTTTGGCAGTTAAAAGCCAGCAGTTACTTTGAGAGTTTTGTTTCTTACTTCCAAGGCAGGATTTAAGCAATTTTTATTTGATATTTTTTTTTAATGTGAATTCTGCAATAATAGTTGACAAATACTCTACTCAGTATTTATATACTGCTTCTGTAGGTACTTTTTAAGTGGCGTTTACCTTTAATCACTTCAGTCCTATAAATCAGTGGAAGCATCTTTAGAAACAACATGCAGAATGAATGTACTTCTAATATTACTGTGGATTTGCATTTGATTTCAGGAAAATAAAGAGAATGATGATAATCTGTCATGGGACCAATCAAGTGTAAGCTCAGAAAAAAATGTTACTTTAAACTCTTCCACAATCCCACTGACAAGTTACCTATCAGGGACAAACCGGAATCTTGAAGATCAAGCTTCTAAGGCCAAAGCTACTGAAATAAAATCTCAGCATGCATCACTTAGTAAGGCCTTCTTGGAAATAAAAAGAATAAGAGAGAAGCAATTGATTGCAGAAAAACAAAATGCAAGTATCAGCCTACCAAAGAAACCAGCGCTCGGCAAATACCGTGGCAAAGTTATCCCATCCAAGATAAATTCCTTCCGAAAACCAGTAAAAACCGAGGGGGAAAAAAGTTCTTTGCCAGAGAAGAAACTTCTTCCTTCTGCCACCAAACAAGCAGGAAGTTCTATGTCTACGAAAAGCTGTAGTGCAGTTCTGAAGAATATCAAAGTCACAAACAACTCTAAGTCTGTAAAATCGAATAGTGTCCTGCCACTTCACAGCAAGCCACCTGAAAAAGCTGCTGTTAACTCACAGTCTGGTCTGAAGAAACAGCAACTGACATTTGCTGCAGCACCAAAGAAAGTAACAGTCCAAAAACTGGTTGGTGCAAGGGGACCACAGCCACCAAAGGCTGCTTATAGCAATCCTGACCACAGAGTG